CGGCTGATCTTCACGACCGTTTTGTGGACGCGGTCACCAAGCTCGGTGGCCCTGGAAGTAAGTTCGCGTTCATCATTCTTGCAGTTTCCTTGTAATCCTTTTTAAATTTGCGACATTGATGGTTTGGAATTTTCTTGCTCTTTTTTGAATGATGATCTTGAACATTAACAGTCGTATTTTATATGGAATACTTGTTGACCTTGTTCTGTGTTCTTATATTGCTGAAACTGAGAGATATTAATGGCTTTCTAGGCGAATTCTTCCAATCTCATTAGCTATATGTAAATTGCAGCTTACCATCAAACGAATTCGTCTAATTATTGTTTTGGGAAATGAAGTGGTGATTCAATGATGTTTGTGGGTAACAGAACATAATTTAAATTCATTTAGTAATTTGCTTCTTGATGGAGATCTGTCATCAGTTGTTAGAGCATTCTTTTTAGATGCTGCCAAAGGCAGTATTGTGGTCAACTGTCGGTAGTTCCTTTTCCTTTTTGTCCCTTCTCCAAATCGCCAATCTGAAGGGAATGAAGTTTGAAGAGAAAGACTGACTGATCGCCTAAGTGATTTTCTAGACAATCCCATCCATTCACAGACATGAGAACATGAGAAGTAGATGAATAATTTTAGCAGTCGAATTAAGAAAAAAAAAAAATTATGTTGGTACTTCGAACTTATAGTATACTGAAAACTAGCCTATATATCTGGGTTGTTTTTTTTTTTTTTTTTCCTGCAACGAACTATATTGATTTAAGCTGTTAGAGGGCATGGTCTTTTTCAGAAGCAACTCCCAAGTCTGTGTTAAGATTGATGGGTTTAAAGGGCTTGACTTTGTACCACTTGAAGAGCCATTTGCAGGTAAGTATTGAAACCATCGCTTCATGATATCTCACTTGTCTTATTATGGCTTGGATGGGAATGAAATGACAGAACTTTTTAATCTTTAGAAGTATAGACTTGGACTGCAAACACGAAAGCAAAATGTGGCTGAGCAAAGGAATGAAAACAGCGGTAAGTCAATCTGTGAATTCCCAGAGTACATATGTTTTGATAATCTTTCTGGATCTGATTTTACTTATCAAATAGTTTGTTATTCTTCTGAGCAATGACATTTTACTAGACGCCATCTGGTTTTAATTCGTATATTCTCTTGTTTGCATCGTAGTGTTTAACTCTAGAAAGCTCATTCATAAATTTTAGCAATAACATTTTCAGGGACAATCAGCAATTTTACAGTTGAGGAAGATGACAGGTCTGTCTTTTTGTATCTCATCAATGTTCTTCTACATGTTCGAATTTTACTGACATTTCAATGGCTTCAATAGTATTTTTGCAAACATATAAGTTAGCATTATATTGATTCTTTTTTTTTTTATTCTCTCATCATGGATACTGAAATTAAATCAGTGAGAAAAACTAAGCTTCTTGTTAAGTACAGTTTTCTCAGAATCGAAGTTCTCCTACAAGGTAGGTATGAAAATAAAAATAACAAAAGGAGGCAAACATTCTTGAATGTGTGATTATCTATTGCATCATAGTATTCCATTTTATATATAAATTGTCAATGTACCTTCATTTTATATAATGGTCTAACTTAAACAGAGGGGTACAAATTGCTGAGGCACTAAAATCACAGGTTGAAGTGCAGAAAACAATACTAGAACAACTCGAGGTATATCTTGCTTAATTCTTCTAATTATAACAGATTCGATCTCAAGTTTGTGATCAATTGTCATTTTGTTGGTTATTGTAAAGACAGGTACAAAATAAGTTACAAATGAGAATAGAGGCTCAAGGAAAATACTTGCAAGATATCTTAGAGAAAGCACAAAAGAGTCTTGCACTTGCCATTAACAGTAATCTTGGAAGTCTTGAAAACACGGGAATGCAGTTACTAAACTTTGACGCGGCTCTGTCAGATCAAATTGAAAAATTTAAGAAACATGAAATGAGAGATAGTGCGGCAAATGGAAACGATACTTGTAAGACGACCAGCGGTTCACCCATCCAGATATGCAAAGTGGAGGCTGGAGAAGAAGACACAAACGTGTTTAATGTTGAAAGGAACATGATAAACTTTGATTTGAAATCCAAAAGGTGGCTTTGACCATAGCACGAACGGTGAAATGCTTAAGGCCAAAGTGCTTCCTTGTTCAAGGTAAGGTTGCTTGTGATATAAAGTACGTACTTTAATGACATACGCAAGCATATAATAGTATTTGGGAGGGAGTAAGAACTTGCATATAGCTCATTCGATATATTTGTGCCTCATGTCTTTGTGCCTCATGTCTTTTTCTCATGTATTAGATTCTATTTATCTTATGTTGAGGATGGTTGGAGTCCCAAACTAATTAAGGAGAAGATGATGGGTACATAAAGTAAGGAATACTATCTCTATTGGTATAAGACTTTTGAAGAAACCAAAAACAAAACATCCTAGACTTGAACCAAAGACCTCACCCATAAAGTAAATCATTGAACCTACGATCCAACCAATTGGGAGACATGAGAGCTTATACTCAAAGTGGACAATACCATATTAATAGAGAGGTTTGTTGTTCCTAACATGGTATTAGAGTCATGCTCTTATCTTAACTTAGTATCTTCCTCAAGTGTCGAACAAAAAAGTTGCAAGCCTCAAAGGTGTAGTCATAGTGAAGATTCGTGATACTACATTGACTAATAAAGAGGAAGATCATGAATATATAAGAAAAGGACACTAAAAGTAAAACCATAAGAGTTTATGCTCAAAGTGGACAATATCATATTAATGTGGAGTTTTGTTGTTCCTAACAAGTAATAGTTTAGAATGAGTTAATGATAAAGGCGTCATCGTTGTGCCAATTTAGTTGAAATTACATTGTGCAATATTGATTACTATTAAGAATAATTTTTTAAAATATTCAAGACATGCTCATCTGCTTGGTAGCTCTTTTATCTTTTGTTCAAGCTCAATCAAGAGAAAGTTGTTTGAGATGTTATTTTAGCTGTTGCATTGGATTGAAAGCTAACACTTGAAATTAATCCAAACATGTCCTTAATTGAACGAGTTTCATATCAATGCTACAAGAGCATTGTAAAAGTATGTATTATAAACTCATTCTTTACAACTTATTAGCATGGCGAGACTTAGTAGTGCTATGTATAAACAATATTTCCTTTTAGCTTTGTTAGTAAGCCACCCCTAAGTTAATCAACCGAGAATAATGATAGTTTTGTGAATTCAGATTTTGAAGAGATGAATGATGTTCTGTTATCTTTTTCGATAGAAATACATTTGATTAAAAATGCACATATCAATATATATATTTGTTGCAAAGGAAATCAAAGAAAACAAAAAAGAAACTCTGATTGATAGTGTAACTTCAAAGATTACAAATACTGGAATCAAACTGAACTACACAGGGGAAGAAATTAACAAGTGTATTTGTTTTGGCTTGCATTGCTAATAAGTTCATAATCAACCTCTTCTTGATGTGCTCATAAATTTCTTCAGGTAATCATCCATGCGAGCGTAGTTCACCTCTGGATAAAGCTTTGAAGCTTCTTGTCCTCCTATTTCAAAGTTTGTCAAGCAGCCTTCAAAGAATATGTGGTAAAAGTATCCATCTTGTTTTTGTTCATATGATTGAAGAATTTGACAAGTTTTTGTTCATATGGTAAAAGACCTGTTTGGTTTCGTAATGTTCTTCGTTTTTATATTTCATTATTTATAGAAATTTCCATATCTAATATACAAATTCTTCAACGAAGCTTGCACCTCTACTAGTACGTAGATCAAGAATTTTTCTTATTAAGTTTACTTGATAATTCGAACATAGGACCTCTTGTGAGGATTACTCAGAGTTCGTAGGCCTTAGCCAATAAAATCATCCCTTAGGAGCTCATACTTGGATACAGATCTGGTTTCGTTGTCTTTGGCTCCTAATTGTTTAGAACACAAATGAGACTACTTTTCCTTCCTTAAAAATTAGGGCTAAATTTATGTTCTAGTACCTAGTATTTAAAAGCTTTTTTTTATTTAGTCCGTTAAAAATTAGGGCTAAATTTATGTTCTAGTACCTAGTATTTAAAAGCTTTTTTTTATTTAGTCTTTTATCTTTTAAAAGTTACTATTTGGTTGGAAACATTTTAGAATTTTTCAATCATAGGTCTATATGAAAGTCGGGTGTTGATAAAGTTACACGATATAAACGTTTATGTAAAAATTAACCATATTTATTTTTCAGCATAAACTCTCCTATTTTGAAATGCAAATCTCCTATTTTGAAATGCAAATGAACACAGTTTTATACAGAGTTCGAGGTTCGAGGATCATCTACTGTTTTGACGACGTACGATACCATCATCATCCACATAGAATATTGTCAATTTTCCATTGTTTAATTTAAAGAATTACCGAATATAGCTGGAAATTTTTTTCCTTGTTCTTCCTTTTTTTTTTTTTTAGTGAAAAATGAAATAGATAAACATATCTAGCTTCTATTACATAAAATTCTAACAAATTTCATGAAAATATCTTTTACATTTAAATATAAAAAAAGAATTATGTAATATTTATTGTGTAATTTAAAGTTAATGAAAAAAAAATGCTTTTATTTATATTTGAAAAAACATAACCATAATGTGTCGTATTCAAAGTTCTTACTTCACAATTTTGGAAATATTTCTAAAAAAAGGAAAATTAGAAACAAAAATAGTTGTCAAATGCTGGCATTTCTCAAAAAGCTGGAAAGGAAAACCAAAATATTAACAAAATCACAAGGTCTTATAAGGAAGAGAAAATAAAAAGATATCAAAATAAGCTACGAGTGACCATGTTGACAATTTGTTGCATTTTTTTTCGACATTTACGACATTTTCATGTCGGAAAGAACTAAAGTAGTATGCATAACATATTGCCACTCGTACCGATGAAACCTTCCAAAGTGCAAAAAATGTTGGATGGCAATGCAAACAAGAGAGTTTACACCATGCTCATAAGAATACATAAATAAAAGTTTACCAGCTCAAACAGTAACCTGTATTGAAATTTATGCAATTTGAAATGCCAACACCTCATGTGAGAAAAAGGAGAAGATACATTTAACCTAGCATCCACAAACTTAAAACATCCAAATACAGAACACATGTACACAATAAAACCACCATACAAACGCTACAGTAAAATGCAGAAAGTAATTGATTATTTCATTAGTTGTGTCTCTAGAATAGGTTTTCTGTCCAGTTATGCAAACCTGTTCAGTATGGAACAATAATGGATTCAATCAGCTCCTGAAGCGGAGCCAGCTCCCTTTTGTCAATTAAACCAAATTCCTGGAGAAATGGCACGGTAACGAGTAAGATTCTTGCCAGATACAAGTGTTCTAACCAAAAAACATGATTGTAATATGTCAAAGATTGAACAATATAAACCATCTTCCTCCTAACAATAACTTCTAGATTAAATGCCACTAAATTTCTTACTCATTGAGTTAACATGTTCAAGAACCGACCATAGCCATATAATTAATGTGCTTTCTGGACGTAATGGAAGCACTTGTTTTATAAAAAAAATATATAAACTGCCAGTAGAAATAATAAATTATAAAAATAAGCTAAATTGAATGGCTGACTTACATGGGTAAAAAGTATGAAATGCTTGAAGCATGTATTTAAATGTGCCTCCTCCTTGAGGCTCACAATTTTCTGAAAGTGAGAATGATAAATGTGGGCGTATACACGGAACAACCTTTTAAATATCGTCTTCACAACCTCCTTGAAGTTTGGAGGAAATGGCGTACCTAACAAAGGACATTGAACAATTAATAAGAATAATCCCAGAAACTCAACTATTTTAGCAAACATGGCTGATGATTACCAAGCTTTTGAGGGAATATTGATTCGTCATCGAGCTGAGATTCAATCCAATCCATTAAATATTCAACGTATTTTGAAGCAGAGACCTCAATAGGCTTTTTAATTTGTACACCATCAGCCCACCTATACTCATACCTGTAAAATTAATTTAAAACTTTTCTGAGGAACAGAGGATGGAGAAAAAATAAGAAAAAAAGATTCTCAAGGAAATTAGATAATCAAGCTCCATGTTCATACGTCAAAATAGGCATAATTTCTTGGAATGGACAGGGTTTGAAATGATCTAGGTATAAACTGAAACCATATTTAGGAGTTCAAAGAAACATTTCAAAACATAGAGAAACGTCATTCAAATGCAAGGATATCCATATAGTCAACATTCAGGTATAAGCACTCAAAACCCACACTAAAAAGTTCTACACCTAAATTTATTACAAATAAATATAGCAGTAGAATCAGCAAACAAGCGAATGACCCTACAAAATACACTATTTTTCCTTGTATGAACCATCAACCATATAATACAGCAAGCAACACTCAAATAAATTGAAAAATTCCTATATTCAGAAAGCATGCATGACAAGTTACTCAAGATAACTGTAGTCACACAAACAAGTCAAAAAAAAAAAAAAAAAAAAAAAAAAAAAAAAAAAAAAAAAAAAAAAAAAAAAAAAAAAAAAAAAAAAAAAAAAAAAAAAAAAAAAAAAAAAAAAAAAAAAAAAAAAAAAAAAAAAAAAAAAAAAAAAAAAAAAAAAAAAATTGAAATGATTGAAAGGACTGTCTTGTACAGAGTAAATTTCTAATTTGTGTTAAACATCAGAAGAAACTCGACTATTTATCCAGTATCCCGTACTTGGGTCCAGCAGTCATTGTAGGACAACTCTCAGGAGTACAGAACTCTGTGAGGGTTCCATATAGCAAATTCACCTGGTTGAAGAAATCCACAGCTGAAATAAAAATTCAACCGCATTTTAGAGATTGATTTTACGAAGGATCCTGGCTAAATAGAAATGGTGAAAACAACATGTTCTGTGTTGACTGGATAAAGAATGTAACAACATTCATCAAGTACAAGGAGAAAAGAACCAAGCGTTTATGAGAGACATAATAAGCAGAAGGTATGATAATACATAGTCACAGAAATTGTAAAACCATTAACCAATTCATAAAAAAGGGCTTATCAACATGAAAGATAGAACTGAAGGAGAGAGAACATAGAGAAGGCAGAATGTACAACTCACTGTTAACAGCCAGCCATTCATTCAAATCCTCCCCAGTTGGAAGTCTAACTGCTTCCCTCAAGTTTCCACTACCAAGAGTGGCATCAATATGCTTTCTGAGTTGAGCCCCCTGCAATAAGATAGAACATCAATGAAACACTCATCAAGAGAAGTTATCCTAATAGAGTACCTTAACGGAAGAAATACAAACAATTTTCATTGACCTACATTTGAAGATTTGCATCATTTAGAACAAGAATATATATCATATCCCGATCTAGAACTTTAGCAGTGGCCACTTGATCAAAATCAGACAAAATAAAACTACATCGTGAGAAACACAACTAATGGTTGATCTTTTCCCTGTCAAATAAGCCTTGAGAACAGTGTTGAATAATGAAATAACTAACTTGACATTTAAAATTATATGGCCCTGGTAATCAGAGCTTTATTATCTCAGCATATTTTCCAAGACAACTTACTTAGCCTCTTGATAAAGGTGGTTGGCCGGAACCACAAACTCCAGGCAAAAACTTGAGTGCAAAAATGCCTTCCAGGTTTGCTTGATAGAAAACCATACTTCTAAAATTTTGGTATATGAACCCATTGATACATAAAATCTGAATACTAGTCCACAGTTCAGACAGCTTTATAGAAGTCCAAAAGAAAACATCTAGATTTCCAACAAAAATGTCTGAAATTAGACCATTATCACAGTTGAGGTCTGCCTTCCAAACTAAGTAGCATCTTGACGACACCTTGCAAGAAGCTGAGTAGACATAATCAACACAAAGATTCTGAATTCTTTTTTCTTATTTTTTGAAATGGAGAAACATACTAAAAATGTTCAATCAAATTCTACCGTCTCCCACAGAAAAGTTAACACAAATGTACCTCGATGTGAACCAATTACAAAAGGAAAGTAGTTCTAAAAGAATTGAAATAGTCAAGTTTCAAACGAGCTCCATTCTCAAGGTTCAGGAAGGAGATATTCTTAGATTTTTCATCTGGTGGGAACATCACTCACTTTGCATCTCTCTTCCTTTCTTCTTCCTTGGGACCAATACCTTGCCCTAAAATAAGATCCTTCCAGCAAGGTTAAAAGACATGATACCCTGAATAATTAAAAGAGTTATTATGTGATTCAAGGAGACCGTTAACTTCCATTTCTTTCAGCACTAAGTTTGCTTCCACGGCTCAGGTCTCTTCCCCCTCATTGATGCAATGCCTCAAGTAAAAAAAAAATCCTAAATAATCCACTTCCATCCGTAGCTCAAACCAAAGACGAATATCACTTATCCTCATACAAAGGCAAAGAGCAACCAACATGGAAGATCAATATCAATGATCCTCACAGAAAGATAGAAAAGATCAGGATTAACCACCTTTCAGTTGCCTGTTATATCTAGCATTTGCGCCTACTCTTTTCACTGTTTCGGCTAACATTGAGATATAATTTCTGGTGAAGAGACCACATCGATGGTTTTTCTCATGGAATATAATAAAGAAAATAGGTCCTCACAAATCACCACTTATAGTTGGGAGGTCGTTTGAAACAAAGCAGATGCATTCATTACAAAAAGCAACAAATGAAGAGTGTTATAATATCACTTACATTTTTTTTTTTTATGAGAAACACATATTCCTTCATTTCATTGATAATCAAAAAAAAAAAAAAAAAAAAAAGGGGGCAAACATGCCAAAGGAATAACAAAAAACACTTCCAATGAAGTATGATGAAGTTAATGTTCCATCTTTATAAGTAATAAGGAGGCCAAACCTTACTCCCCGATGGTGCACTCTTTTTGGGGCGAAAAGTCCTTTGATTTCTGCTGCAAGACAATTTTTTGGGATGTATTACAGACAGCATATGTGGTTAAGGCATAAATAACACAGGCAAACACCAACATCAGCAACTAACTTTCACTCAATCGCGTAATAAAGATGCCATGACATTGTCAGAATAGTGAGAGCGACAAACGGGATAAGCAATAATTGTAAGCATAGGTTTGACTGTGTCATGTTTCCCTAATGCTGGACAACCATCCATATGTCACACTTCTTGTCATCAGGGACTCTTCATAAGAAGTAAAATCAAGCACCATAACCGTACCTAGGTTTTTTCTAACCTTCTTACCCTCAGATAAGTATTCCTACACGCAAGTTCTTTCTTTCAGATGGAAAACAAACTTATATTGACAAGGAAAAACACTCACAATCATGATGTGAAATTCACAGTTTTGAATTACATGGAATTGTTTTTCTAGCCATATTCTCACTGTTGATCTGATAATCTTTGTTGGTACAACTCTTTCTTCCTCCAAAGTAATTGACCTTTCATTCTAAAATAATTATCTAACGCTTCCCCTAAGGAAAACTTCCTGCAACACGCACAACTACGTAACCACAAAACTCCCCATCTATACAATTGGCATAGGTACTCGTAAATAACTATTCTGTCGCGACTTATACCCAAATAAAACCCACATCGTCCCAATAAAAATACGAACAAAAAGAAAGAAAAAAATAAAGAGGCAAATTGACAATCACTAACTGCTTTTCACGCACTCACAAATGAACACGGGGCAATTTGATACGAAAGTGAATGAATCACCGATTGATCGCCCATAAGAAGTTGATAGAATAATCCATCCAAAAAAACGAGAAAACAAAACAAAACAAACATCTTACAGTATGCTGTGAACCTAATTTCACAGGACAAAGACAAGCATGAACGACACGGTTATCTGATACAAATCAAGCATACAAAAATTGAAAACAAACTCACACACAGGGCGCATCTGCACATGCATGGGCAATTAACACGCATGTGCATCTGCACACGTTAACTAAAATTCAAGAAGCTCAAAATCGCATCAGAAGAACCAATTCCACACTCAAAATGGGATAAACAAGACAGAAGATCTGATGAAGCTGATAGAGAAAATCCCACGATCCTACTCAAACCATCAAAATCAAGGAACCAACTGAATTCCGGATCACCGGAAAGAGAAAAAAACGAACGCGAATGACAAGGAAGAGAAAGAGAAGGGAATTAATTAATCCGAAGAGGAAATTTAAAAAAAAAAAAAAAAAAAAACGTCAATGATTTCAATCTACCTGCCCAGACCGAAGAGACTCATCGCTTCAGAGACGGAAGAACAAGCGCGCGAGAGAGCTGGATTTCCGAGTCTCGCGTTATTTCGTTGAGCTGGAGGAAGAGAAAAAAAAAAGGCGCTAACCTTTGTCTTTTTGCATGATTTCCCCTCTACTTTTGGGGAATCTAAAACATGCCCCTCTTATTCCAACTATTTAGTGCGCTTCCCGTGTTTTTCTTCTCTCTCTTGTTTTTTTTCTTATTATATTTTAAGTTATAATTTACTGCTAAATATATATATATATATATATATTTTTTTTTTTTGGTACTTTTTTCAGCCATCTCTAATAACGGAATTAGGTTTGAATTTAACATTTCCACGTCATTTTTAATTATTAATATATGAACGGGTGTTTTCGACTCAAAATTTGACGTTACATAAATTAAATTAAATTAAATTAAATTAATTATAAAATATATAGCATTTTTTATTGCATTATTTTTAAAAATACACTTTTTTTTTCTTCTCTCTGTTAATATTATTGGAAAGTAAAGTTGTTTAAAAAAAATTAACAAAATTGACTAGGATACGTACATTTTTCAAGTTTCGTTTTTGATATTTTAACATTTTCAATTTTAATAATCAGATTTATATTAAAATAAAATAAAAGGCATAAATTGCAGAGCGACACATAATGGCCTCAATCTGGACAGATCAAAGCCAATTTCGAAGATCGGTTTGATTCTTAGACAGCGTTAGTATGAAGCAGAATAAAATGATGCATGAAATTCAAGCACATCAGGATTTGTATTCCCCTTGAATTCTGTTAGGAATCTCTCAAAATACATTAATTGGAGTGAGTGGTTGAGAGTTCTAAAACAAATTTAAATAATTTCTTAAATGGCATCTTTCGCTACAAGATTCAAACTTCGCAATTCAAATTTCCAACTTCTTGATCGAGAGTACGTATTTTAACCATTTTCATTGAGTCATTAATTTGATGAGTATAAACTAGTTACTGGAACTTTTAGACATAAGCCCAAACATAAAAGGAAGGACAAAACCGATCAAATCGAGTCGAACCACAAGATTGATTCGACATCTAAATGGAGCTGCTTACACTCCAAATCAGACTGAAATTAGACCCTTAATACTTTATTAAGATTAAAAAAAAAAAAAAAAGAGAGTAAAACAAAAGACAAATCAGATCAAATCGAGTCGAACCACGAGATTGCCTCGACATCTAAACGGAGCTGCTTACACTCCAAATCTGACTGAAATTAGACCCTAAATACTTTATTAAGAGAAAAAAACAAGTAAAAGGAAAGACAAAACAGATCCAATCGACTTGAACCACGAGATTGATTCGACGTCTAAATGGAGCTGCTTACACTCTAAATCTGACTGAAAGAAGATCCTAAAATACTTTATTAAGAGCAAAAAAGAGTATAAAGAAATATGCCTAAACAGTTACCAGCAGAAGCCAAGAAAGAAGAGGAGCATAACGGGTAAAAATAAAATGCTGAATATTTACTCACTCTTACTTTAGGTAACTGAAGCTAGCTATGTACAGCAAATCAGTATAGCAATAGCTCAGTGCTCAAGATGTTAACCTTTTGAACCTGCAAGAGAGACAGCTTTCACGAGTTACAACTATTCTGTAGCATTAAGTTATTATGGAAAGAACAAAGAACTTCAGAATAACATGAAGAAATTGCAATTTAAGGGGAAGTGCTACATTACAGTATTGCACAATCATCGAGACTAAAAATAAGGATATCCAGGTAGTGATTGAAGAAAAGGAATAAGATTAAGTAAATAGAAAATGAATAAGATACACAGATTACATAGGATGATTGTCCTTCTATTGAGGTGTGTCATTTTAGTACACTAGCATATAATATTGATGGACAAAGCCAGAGGAACGAACCAAGAAAGTAATTAGCATGAACCAAGATGTACAAGGCAGGTAATTTGCGAGTTCTTTTCATTGAACATCTTCAGACTAAGAACATAGAATATTGAATGGCAAAGCCAAAGGCACCATCAAAGAAAGTAATTATCCAAGAAAGTAGGTCGATGTTAGAAGTGTAAGGCTGGTAATTGTAAGAATACGCCAGTATACCAATTCCAGAGTGAGACATGATTACGTTTACTTATGCTAAAAGAGAACGAGGACAGAAACTAAAGGCACTGCAAGGACTTGAGTATGAAAACGAAGAGCGCTGGAAGTTGGTTCGGAGAGGGAATGGGACAATCATAAGGTGAACTAACTTCATTAGAATTAGAGATTTGTGTTAAGGGATAATAAATACAGAGAGAGCATGGACTGATGCGGAAAGGTAAGGTTCAAGGTTGAGTTTGGGGACTCTCCAAATCATCATTTTCTGAAACTAGTTTAGGACTTGGTAAAATTTTCCTATTGAGGTCCTCGATCACATAAGTGTTTCAATCACTTCTATATAAGGGAACGTCCTTACTTTCCTTTGAATACACTTTCAAAATAACAAGACAACACAAGAACTTGCAAAAAAAAGAATACTCCAGTCTATTTTAGGGGTCTAGTGAACTCTCCCAAGAGACTATTGTTCCATACACAGAAGACATGTCCTCCCCTACTCTCCTTCCAGCAATAATAAGCACACACACTCCCACATACAAGTATGACATTCCCCTTCCCACTAATCTACTGCGGGGTGGTTAATTTCGTTTCTACCTTTCCTAGGGTAAGTACGTATGAATGAAGGCCAAACATTCTACTGGGAATTTCAAGCTTTAAGTACAATTGAAATGGAACCACCTGAATGTCCTGAGGAAAATGCCTAGAATAAAGCATGGATCTCAGCTTGGTTAAGCTTACTGATACGGTGAAATACCTGAATGTATTGCTCCCGAAACATGGACGTACGACAGCAATGTATCTAGACCCTGCCCTTGAATTCCAGACCCAGCTTTTCCTTTTTCTGAAGTCACTATTGATCTCTTTTTTTTTCTTTTTTTCTTTTTTTTCCTTAAGTCACTATTGATCTTGTTCATTCCCAAATGGCCAACTTTTTTTTTTATTTACTTTCAGACTCTTTTATATTTATGATCCACCTTTACAAATGTATGAATGAACTTTAAATTAAAGGTCGTCTGACTGACCTAGGCTGGTAAAGTTTACAGCAGGTTCACTCCGTATCAATGAAAAAGCTATTCCATCTTACTATCATACTATAAAATGGATACAATTTGACCAGCTCGTATCATGCCTCAACTGAAACATTGGATTGTGAAGAGAACTAAAATATCAACACTCACCAAAATGAGAGAAGGAATTCAGATAAGAAAAACAATGAAGAATTCTGGTAAAACATTATTCCATTCCAATTGAAAACAATCAAATTCCTAGCAGGTTAGTAATTTTCTCAACCTGTTGAAGACGCAAAAAGAGAAAATATTGGATTACCTTTGTGAATGTGAGAAAGCCGATGACCTAATGTTCCTACAGTTTCACAAATAGACTTAGTAGGAATGGCTGGTAAGATCTTCTTATCAGGTAAATTAATCTTTTTGTCCAAGCACTCCAGCTTGATGTTTGTTAATCGTCTACTTGCTTCTCTTTGTAGCCCAAATATATGCTGTGTAAAGTCGTTCCATCCATTAGAAACAGAAAAAGTTGTGGATCGAAGACTGTTGGATTGGACTAATTCCACTGCTCCACTTCTTGTGGCCAGGGCAACTGTAAATTAGTAAACCCATCAACTGTTTCAGTAAAGGCTCGATTGGGAAGCTAGTCAATAGTCAAACAATCTCTTTAGCAGCATCGACACGAGTATTCCATGAAATAAGCATTTTAGTATTAATAGTGTTTAAAGAATAATGGAGTATAACAACAAAATGCCAGGATCGTGTACCATTGTAAGCAACATGATAAAGCGCATTTGCTGGAAGACCAATGCCAAGACCTGCAGCAGTGAATCCCACACAAAATCCGAGACCACATCCAGCACCAACATAACCAACTACTTCAGGTCCAAAACCAGGACCCCATCCAACACCACAACCCATGCCTATTCCCATCCCCCAAAATGCCCCGAGAGTTGGATGTACGGGATTCCATCTTTCGTATCTCCTGAATAAGCCTTTTATAATCATGTATACCTAGTTGAAGACATTAAAGGACTCATGGTATCATCAAATGTTCTTTTACAGACCCAATCAGTGTATTTGAATGACACAATTATAAAAAGTTCTATGCTTCCTCCATAGTAAAGAATATAGAAAATAAAGAGATGTATGTCTTTGTGTTCTGAGAACTTCACCCATGCTATTTTCAACGCTATCTGGTGTATAGATGAAAATATGGAAATTTTGTAGACAAAGAGCTACTTCAATATAAGTTGTCAAAAAGTAAAACTATTAAACACAACCAAATCCTTATACATGACCTAAATCAGCTTCAACTTGGATATTTTGACAAAATTTCACCAGTATTCAGTATATTCACAAGAAAAGAATACCATAGGAGTTTACAACTTGTTTCATTACTGAATAGTCAACAACTATGTATTACGTTGAAGAAAGTACATATGTGATGCGTTTTTTAATAGAAGAACCAAAAGGGAAAATGAGATTTTTTAATGAATAAGGCTTAATCTTTTATAAACCTGTACAGTTCCCAACTGTGAAGAACTACGAAAATGCATGTATAAATCAACAGAAAGAAATGACTGCTCCAAGCATTAAAGTAGCAACAGCCCATAATTGAACCTGGCTGAAGCAATTTAGTCAGCCTGATTAAATTTCTAACCAGCTTTTGTCGGACCGCATCTCACTCCCCGCGCCAAAAGGGATAAATCCAACAACATTGGGGAAGAAAGCGTTGCACATCTCAACTAGGATGAACTAGTTCCTATTATTATGCCTTCCTTGTTACTTTAATGTCACTACGAATTCCGCTATCAGGAAATTGGAGAATACGAGGAGATTAATACACGCCATCTCAAATATTATGATTTCAATTTGGTGCTTCACGATCAACAATTAGTCCGGATTTTCAACAACAGGCAACAGCTTAACATACGTCTAATTCCAACATTTACAGTTCCGTCACAGCAAAATGTTTCAAATCAGCAGGAGACCTTTCAATCTAGCTACATGAAATCCATTATCCCGAAATAAAACATCCCTACTCTCTTTCAAAACACTATTTCTCACTTCATTCCGCCATTTTTAAACAAACAAACAACAAATCATCAATAAAACAGCAAAAAAAAAAGGAAAAAACCAATCTATGACGCAGAAAATTCGAGCAATAAGAGCCACTCAAACTAACTACTTAAACCTACAGACAAAATTGCAGCAGAATAAACCAAAAACAAGATAAACGATGAATTAAAATAAGAATTCGCACACCATAAGAATGCAATCCTTCTATACTCGGTTGCTGTGATTCTTCTTCGCCGCTGCAAAAATCGCCCTGTGAATGGCGGGAGCGGGTTGGTCCGAAATAGATAAAACGCCCCGTAGGCGAAAAGGTGTTAAATTCAGTCATCTGCTTCTTTTTTTAAAAAAATAATATTATATTTGTAAGGAAATACAAATTCACCTTCAACTTTTCCTTTATTTGTGTAATATAGTTTTTATACCTATTTTAATTATAAGGAGAAAAAAAAATCAAAATTTATAGTTGATGAATATTTTCCTTTATTATTTAATTCCTTATTTATCTTATATTATATATATATATATATATATATATATATATATATATATATATATATATATATCATATGATTATAATGTATATGGGTAAAATGTCAAATTTTACGTTAGAATTTAAAAAAAAAAAATCTTAATAATATTAAATTAAATCTGGAAAATATCAATAAATTAAACTATAATGTAGTTATCGACCAGGATTTGCAACAATTTGAAAATAAATAAATAAAAGCGAGGGAAATGTATTTGCGTATAAATATTCCCGCAAAATTAAGCTATAACGGTTTGGAGCAAGGAAGCGAAATTGAGCCAAGAAGATGGGAAAGAACGGGGATCGAACTCGCCGGTCCTTAGCAGCGGAGCTTCTGGAAACGCCGCCGTTAACGCCTCCTTCGGCCACCGATTCTCCAAAGTCAGCGATCTTCAGCAGAAAAATTAACGGCAACGTAAGCAAGTTTCCGTCACCGGAGAATACCAACACTGCGAAAAACAGAGTCGCCGCTGGTCTCTTTAAGTCGTCTTCTCGAAATATTTCGAGCTTGAGTACTATATCTGATCTCAAGGATCTTGCGTCTTCACAGTTACACGATCTCAAGCGCCTCTTTGATCACTCTCACTCACAAATCGTTGAAGACCTTGAATCCTCAAACTCGCGCCTCCAAAAGCGATTCAAGGTATCTTTCTCTCTGTTTGATGATTTTGACGATGACTGCGAACTGCTGCACACACACACACACACACACATATATAGACTTTTTCTTTTTCATGCGATTTCCGCTGATTAGAATCCATAACTCAAGCTTTCGCTGTGGTTAAAGAACATGAGTTAGGTCAGAGGCAGTTATTATAGTTCAATCCTATTGAAATTAGTTTTAAAAAAAAAATGTCGCTGCCAACTTGCATTCACCGTTCCAATACGGAAGATTCCATCGGGCAGTAGTGAAAATTAGGCAGAAGAGAACACTATAAAGCTCTGCTTTCATATTGTGCTTAAACACGTAATACTGTAGCTATATAAACCGCTATCTATTTCATACCTTCATAACCATACTTTTAAGCTCTATAAACACAGTTTTAGTCTAAAACTCGAAGTTGAATGTAGAGGTCTGTACTTGAGAATTTTGGTTTAAAAGATAGAAAGATTGAACTGATAATTTCTATCACCTTGTTGAAATTTAGAACACTCTCGCTGACCATTGAAGTCTTGGATTATCGATATACAGTGGCTCGACATGCATAGTTTCAATCGATCTTTAATAAACATAATACAGGTTTTATGTTTAAGTCGTCTTTGTATGGACAAGCTAGGATACACGAATAAAGTACTCGTCGCTATCACTGAAATTTTATCTTGGATAGATGCATTTTCTTGATTTCTGTATGAATCTTCATTTGTCGCGGGAAGGATAAATAAGAAATTGATCTTGGATTGTCATGTCATTTAATTTAACAGATTCAAAGTCAAGCATGCCAGAAAATGATGGATGAAGCAGAGGAGTACAAGAAGATGTCTCAAAGAATTTATGAAAGTCAGGAAGCAATGAAGGTGCCTCAATCAAAAAATCCAACCTGCACCAATGTTTCCATGATTGTTATTTTTTCTGTGCCAAAAAAAGCTCACTCTGCTTCATTGTCCTCTAGGCTTCATATGAAGAGTTTTTGGCACATGAACAGGATAGTACATATCGGGGTACGTCAAACTTGCAACAATAATAATTAACTACGAATTGCTCCAAGATTATCTCAATCAATATAGATGTTCTGCTGAAAATGGCATATTGTACAATTTGAGAGTTTATTTTAGAATATTTACATGGAACTATATTTACTTTTTTATATTTATATATGTCTGTCAAATACTACTTAAGAAGTCGGAACACATGAAAGAAATTTAAATTTATGAAACAAATTTCGGATTGTTATAAAAATAGAATCCGACAATAAGAAGGTTCTGATATCCTTTTTCTAAAACCTTCACAAGCACTGATCAATATATTCATAGAACGCTTAGACATCAAAATGATATGGAGTTGGTGTAATTGATATATTCTCATTATTTTAGTTTTATCACTGCTATTTGATATTTGGAACTGTCTTTTCACTTTCGCATTGGCAGATTGCAAAACATCCATAACTGAAGTCTCGCAGTCCTTTGAGAGATCAACTGATGCTCTTCGCAGCCGTTTTGGGATCCCGTCTACCTAATCACTACCAATTGGCAGCAGCTTTATGGTGACGTTGGTGAGTCTACTAATCTAACATAAGTACAACATGTTCAGAATGGCAACATCACAAAGTAAGAACAGGCACTAGATGACAAATGATGGTTCGTTTCCTCATTTCCTTGCTTTTCACCGATCAAAGCATGTTGTTCTTATTGAAATTAACTAATATAGTTTGTGGCTCTAATATCTTAGAAGTGCCTTTTTTCCGGAAGCAAATATATTTCTTAAAAGTTACATTGATGAAATTTGTTTGGTCGTTTTCTTCTGTATATCTGTCCATAAGTTCATATAAGGTAAAGTGGATTATTTTGTCGTAAGAACCAAAGCATTTTCTTCTCCGCGCGATTCTCAATCAGTGTAGTTTAGAAGCTTTCGAAAATCTGTTTATGTTGTAACTAGTATATTTGTTGAATTAGCCAAGTGATTCGACGATGTCTCTTGAATTCCAATAATTCTATTCATTACATGTTATAGTTTTTAGACAAATAAACATTACTAATATCTTCACTTGGTAGTATAAACTAACCTCTAATATTATTGTTACATTTTAAATTTTCAGATCAATAACTATACGCGACGTCATCTGGTTCTCGAGCATATCTTCACTCAAGTATGTTCACTGTATATATTTGTGGTTCAATAGGCTTATATAAAAATATGCCAATTTTATCGTGTGCAAATCCTACATATTCTTGATTTCTGACATTTGGACAAATCGTCCTCTGGTATCCCTCTTGATTGAAATTGTTTTCTTTTTCTTTTTTTTTTCATTTTATTCAAAAATTATCCCTTACTTCCGTAGCTAGCTCTACCTGTAAGAATTTCATTTTCTAGTTTACTTCCGAAGCAGTTGAAAATGGTTTGGTTGTCGTGGACTAATGGTCACATGATTTGGTTATCTTGCTAATAACTTCCCAGTTCATCAAATAAAAAGCCTCTCTTGCTATAGTTTACGACCTTAACATTTGATGCTGAATCTTTAGCCTCAATGACCCACTTGCTGGGGCAGACCTAATAGACCATTGACCCATGTGAATTCAATTATACCTCTCCTTCCAGCCTCCTCTCTCTTTCATGACCATCCCAACACTTGTACCTTCACCGATGTTCAGTGAAAGTCGAATGTAAGCAAGTTGGCTCAGCTCAATTCGGATGCACTTGCCCACCTAACCAAAACGTATCAAAATGGCCAAAGTTAAGCCAACTTAGTTCGATTATTCTAATTGGAATGTCCTGTTATTCAGAGATATTAGATAATTTGTATTGCATCCGTTTACTTCTCTTCGGCTATACACAAGGAAATGATTATATTTAAAAATAACAAAAACAAAAACAACAATTAAAAGCCAAATCACAAGAATGGGCCTGCGGTTTGAACCCTTCAAGCTCAGCAGCCCAACAATTACTTCAATGTAGACGACAAAAAGTAGTATTGACCAGAAAAAGATGCATAGGAAAAGTTGGAAAATGACGCACAATTTGCCCCCTTACTAAAGAAAATAGCTATATGAAAGAGGCCCTGTAAAATAAATATAACCACGTTATTTGGTACCCGATTCTTCAATCGACGAAGAGGCGAAAGATCGTACTTTTCCCAGTATTTTGTAAGAATAAACTAATCTCATTGTGCTTCTATTGAACTTTCTTCTCTTTGATTCTCTAAGCGTAAGTACCTCGATTTGGTCAGCTTCTATTACTCCTGTCATCTTGATTTCCGGCTAGAAGAATACCAGAGTTTTTTATGGCAAATTAACATCTTCTCTTTTTCAGTACTGTATTCGGTTTCTTCTTTACGACATCCCCATCTCATCCCTTTAGCCATTGAGGCTACTGCATCTACGTAGTATCTTGACTCACGAATAATCGCATACCCATTAGGACGCAGGATTCGATCCATCTCCAAAAGCACATACTTCATCTCACATCTGCCAGGAATTCCAAATGATTAGAAACTCCCTTAATTGGACTACCTTTACAATCATCCATTTAACGAAAAAGATTTCAAAGCACATCAACTTTTATTACCTATGGCCTTCTGCAGTGAAAAGCCCATCAAGATGGAGCAGGTCATAAGTCCGAGGATACGTTGAAAATGCTTCACACCTGCCAAATTAGCCATTGCAAGGTAACCAAAAGTTTCACTCGTGTAAGTCTATGAAGACCAACCAAAAAGTATGCAGGAAAAGAAGTGTTGCTTTGGTTTTACCAGTCATGATAAGTTCCAATAAGGCCACGATCATAGACCACAGGAAGAGTATTAGCAGCGTAGGAAGAAACCACATTCATTACCCACAAGGGATCATCAATAATAGCAGCAGCAAAACCTCCATAAACTGTATTCATATCCATAACATTTCTGATCTTTTCAGTCCCAATTGCAGGAAGCAATTTCTTGTAATGTTTGGCTCGGACCATCCATTTACTATCATCGTGCTTGAAAGTGCCAGAACTGCCACCATAAACATCTGAAACTCGTTCGGGTGAGGTGTGCAAACGATCTGGCCATTTGGGGATAGCCATCAAACTTGTTCTCTTCAGTTTTGGGTCGGGAGAAACGACACAAGTACGCAATGGACTGTACCATGCTGAATCTGGTTCAAGGCTGTCGTCACACTTAGGAGGGTAAGCATCAGCAGCTATCTTGTCGAAGCAATTAGGATCAGTAGATTTCTGCCAAACGGCAATATCGTCTTTTTTGTTGTAAAGGGTAAAGCACATTGAAGTTAGGAGTTCCTGCAATTTTTCATAGTCTGATCTTTGTTCTTCTACAGTTGTATTCCATCCTCTCCAACGGTTTTCATAGTTGACTGGGGGACCAGACAGGACCCAAAGGCCTCCAGGACGAAGGATTCTGTTGATTTCTAGCAAGTAAATCCCACCTGAAAACAGAGTGTGATAATCAGAAATTTGAGAAAAAACATAACAATCGAGCTATCCAATTACTCGATTGAATATAGTGGTAAAACATTATCATAATCTATGTTCAATGAGTTTCTAATGATAGGTAAAACCCAGTTAGGCAATAACTCTTTGTTCTTATAAGAAATTAGGCATGATTCAATTATTTGAAAAAAACAGAAATTTACCAAATTCAGTCCATGGGATAAGGCATCTTGAGCAATGAGCCATATCAAAGGAGCTTGATGGGAATGGAAGTCGTTGTGTCGATATGATGCCAAGTATTGCTGGAATTCCACGTTCCAATGCAAATTGGACTTGAGCTTCATGGTTATCTCTTGGTGCAAGAGAAACTGTTAAAATTCCACGGTCTAGTAGATCTCCTCCCCAACTTGCAACCTAGAGAATGTGATTCATCTTAGGGTTCAAAACTTTTTGTGCCTCTCATTGATAAAATTTAGAATATGATCCTTAGGTGACCATGGAAAATAATCAATTGAAGCTAGAATTTTTTTTTGAAGTAAACAGTTAAAGTTTCCTCTAAATGCAAAGATGACAAGAAACCACAAGATGGAAATGAAAGTAGAACCTACCCCGCAGCCAGTATCAATGGCTGTTCGAATAGTTCCATCCTTCATTTCTGGTATAAGATCTTGCATCAGATCGACGTATGCACTAACACCATTTGGAAACATGGTTCCCCCACCAGGAAAGAGGAACTTTTCACCTTCTTTCCTCAGCCAATTTTGATTAGATTTCTGTTTATTGATCCAATCATATGGTACGTTCCTAAAGTCCAGTTAACATGAAATTAGTTAAAACTTAGAAGAGATGGAAGTTCAAAATCTATATAAGGGAGAAGATGTCCTCTGCAAAAAGAACTTCATGAGAAAAAAAAACATATTACCTGTACCAGCACTCATCCTTGCTTTTTGGCCATCTAATTGGTGGTTTATACCCATCTGGTGGTGGAATTAAGCATTCCTTTCTTTCGAACACGGGTGGACAATGTCGTTCCATGAAAGTAAGCCGATAAAAACCATACTTCTTCCATTTCTGCTCTCACAAGTGCAAATCAGATTACTGATATTTCTAGATATGAAAATTATGTAAGCACCAAAAATGTTAAAAAGGGATATACCCTTGGATCTGTGCAAGGAGTGTAATCTTGGTACTCCTTGCTGCATTCCTGAAAGACAACAGGTTTAAGTTGGAGAGGGGACACGACCGTGTCCCTCGATGGGGTGACTAAGTTTTCAATGTCCATGGCTGTATTGACATTGACTCCCTCTTTCTCAGAACAAAAGATTCCACCTAGATAGAATGAGAATCCACACAACACAAACAACAGAATTGTCATAGGGAGGACTCTTGCATTCTTGTCTTGCTTATGTCCTAGCTTCCCATCTCTATACATCATGATTCCCTATTAACAACCAACACCCTGCAAAAAATTCAAGGGGCCAGAATATTAGTCACTGTCTATATCATGCATTCATTATTTGTTATCTGAGTTATATTAATGCTTACATCTATTGATTAGCTTTGAAATGTTTAACATATTCTTAAGAACAGAAACTAAACAGAATTTCGACTTCCTTGCTAGAAAATACATCCAAAAAACTTAAGCCTGAAACAAATCCATTGAATCTACAAACAGCTAAAACACTCAACAGAAAGCAAAAGCTACCCTTACAAGTTACAATCTGAAAATATGGAGAAAACAACAGATCCAGTTAGTTTAATCTTGAAATCATATCTTCAGATAAGGGAACATTAAAGAAAAAAGCTAAGGAAATCAAATTGTGAAATGAAGAACATGAAAGAATGTAAAGTGCAGCTGTAAAATTAACATCCGACAACAACCGACAATTTCCACTTTCTTTTGCCCCCCCCTTGATTGGAATTTTCACACATGGTGTTGGGCCCCCAAACACACAAAGGAAACCCACCCCTTGAATCCAAGTATCAATAAGAGAAATTGAAAACCAATTGAATTGCCTCCCCCCTTCCCCTTTGATTTGCCAATGTCAAGATGGTGATTTCTTTTTTCTTTTTCTTTCTTCTTTTTTTTTTTTTTTTTAACAAAGAAAAATAAAAGGAACTAGAGCTTCTCAGAACATGAAGCAAATCAGCCAAGTATTTGCTCAAAAATAACAAAACCAAAAGAAATGGACGAGAGAAAGTATCTGTAATTCCCCCAAGATCAATCAACAATGTTAAAGAAGAGGAAAATACCCAGAAGAGTTTTTAAAAAAATAGTCAAAATTAAGACACACGGGTAAAAAAAAAAAAAAAAATCTAAAAATAGGAAGAATAGAAAAGAACGGTGAAGGAAGCGTCGATGGTCAGATCTGTTGTGGAAGAAAATAGAATGGAAAGGCCATTTTCTAGGACACACTAGAGAGCTTCAAAGAGATAAATGTGACAAAACTTAGAGAGAGAACAAGATGAGACGAAGGGTTTAAGAAGAGAATAGACAGAATGCTGTCCAGAGAAAGGGAAACAAGAGAGAGATCTGAGCTTTAACCTGAAACTGAAAGAAAGAGTTCACCTTTTGAGTGTGTTAAGCCTTCACCCAAACCTGGGAGCGAACAGAAGAGGCCCAAATCTCTCTCTGGTTTCACTGTCCCCAGAGAAAGAAAGGGGGACTGTACCAGCAAGTGAGAGAGAGGAGTGTGTATCTGTGTGTGTTTCTCCCTGTCCATGGAGGTGAAGCTTTAAATAAGTCAGCTCCTCGCCCGTCCCCACTTCCACGTCCCTTCCTTCCTCTCAACGGGGTGTCTGTATCTTCATTCACTTCTTTAAATCTATTTTCCCATTGGTTTTCCTGGCAGTAGAGGTCGAATTAAGGATGTATGGGTACCTACACAATTAATAATTAAATAGTTCTTACAGAAGGATAGATACGCCGTAAAATTTACGGTCCCTCGTGTCCATTTTTTAAGAATGTTTTATAGGTAAAACTTAGTATATATATGTAGAGATTGATTAATAGCTAATTCATGATGAAATATCAAAAACTGCAGGCTATATAGATACAAAATAACTCACTATTTCTTTATCTATTTTATTTATTTACTATATGTTTTATTTTTCTAAATGCCTATTGTCCATAAAGTTTCTTATTTTTTTGGTTGCTAGAATAAAAAAGGAATTGAAGTCATTAGCGTTTTTTTTTTTTTTTAATTCTATAAATTTTTTGATATCTTAGGGTTCGTTTAATTGGTTATCTAAAAATATAGATTTTGAACCCATTAAACATTTTAAAATTTGAACTTTTTTATTGATTAAACATACTTGACTTGTTTTCAATCTAATTCTTTTATTATTATTATTATTTTGCCAAAACCCAAGGCTTTTGTCTTATAAGATGAATTGCTATTTTGTAATTTTTGTAGTCAGTAACAATCCATCGTACAAGGGAGAGTTCATATTTCCCATTTCCATAGTTTTTTTTTTAATTATTTTTTTACCTGTTCTAGTAGTTAATCTTTGTTGGATGATGAAAGTCCCACATCGGCTAATTTAGGGAATGATCATGGGTTTATAAGTGAGGAATACTAACTCCATTGGTATCAGGGCCATGCCCTAAACTTAGCCGTGTCAATAGATTGGCAAAGTCAAAAATGACTAAGACTCCTTGACTCCAAAGGAGTCAAGCCTCGATTAAGGGGAGGTGTGAGGGGAGGTGTTGGGTTAATTTAGGGAACTCCAAAAAGGAGTCAAGCCTCCTTGAAGGTACGAAGGAAGTCAAAAATGACTAAGACTCCTTGACCATGCCCTAAACTTAGCCGTGTCAATAGATTGGCAAAGTCAAAAATGACTAAGACTCCTTGACTCCAAAGGAGTCAAGCCTCGATTAAGGGGAGGTGTGAGGGGAGGTGTTGGGTTAATTTAGGGAACTCCAAAAAGGAGTCAAGCCTCCTTGAAGGTACGAAGGAAGTCAAAAATGACTAAGACTCCTTGACTCCAAAGGAGTCAAGCCTCGATTAAGGGGGAGGTGTTGGATGATGAAAGTCCCACATCGGTTAATTTAGGGAATAGTCATGGATTTATAATCTAATTTAGGGAATCGTCTAACAATCTTGTCGTGGTCTGCTTTTAAAAAAGTGTGAACCAATCTCTTTTTTCAGAAGAGAATGAGAAACGGAAAAAAAAATATATTGTTTCAATTTTAAAATAAATTGCACTCTTTTTGACAAAAGTATTAAAAAAATACTTTAAATTATTATTAAGTGCACATCTCTTTTTTCTTTTTCTTTTTTTTTTTTCATTTTGACATGCTTATTTGAATATTTAGGGTAGCTTTTATTTTCATCTATAAATTTGGAGACAACATTACTAGTGACAATGAAGCCTGTCCAAACCCTTATTCCTCCTCAATAAGTCTGTTTCCAATCTTAATTTTCTAAACAAATAGAAAATAATTATACGAATGGTAAATATTTTAGGAGTTTAAATTAAATTTTAAAAAGAATCTCAAAGTAAATGACTAAAATGCCCATTATATATATATATATTATAAAAAAATCCAAATAAAATATGTGATTTATTAGTGTCTCAGAATTTGTAGCCTCTATTAATTAATTTATTACATTCTAATGTGTAAAGTACACAACTGCACCACACTCTGACACATTTTTTTTCTTTTTTTATCTTTTAATTAATTTGTTAACAGAAACTGTCTAGTGGCAATTAAACAAATTTGTAGATAGTTTTTTAAAAAAATTTGCATGAAAATCTTATATTTGTGACATTCATAGAATATTATAACCTAGTTTTCAGGTAATGATTACGTGATGGAATAAAATAATGAGCCATAATTATGTATTGCAGGGTACGAGGTATAACTATGATTTCACATAAAGTTGTTTCTATACATAATTGTAATGTAATACACGTATTTCTTAGGGGTACTTTAGGATTTTCACATCTGTATATTTTAATGTATTTGAATTTTGACTTTACATATTAAAAATTGTTATTGAAACCATGATTAAATTTTGAGGATTCTATTTGTAAATAGTTTTTATATTTTCAAAATAATTTATTGAGTTAGTTATTTTACCTAACAAAATCTCTATTTTGTTTTTATCATAAATAAAATTCTTTTAAATATAAATTCTAAGGGTCCAATTTAAAATGTTGACTTGAGTTTTTGTCCCCTTTATGAAACTTAGACATTTGAGTTTTTTTATTAGGTAATTGCCTCTCTTTTCAATCTTACAATAATGTTTGAGATAAAATCAATAATATTATAGATAAAATTAGAGGTTTATATTAGTCGAGAGACTTTTTGAGTTAGTTGGATTGGCGACGAACAAATGAATAAAATTTTAAGAATTTATATTTGTCCACCAAATAGATCATATTAATAATTAAAAATTTACCAAATTTAAATAATAAAAAAAAAAGCAAAATAATAAGAATAAATAAAATAAAATAATAATAAATAAATAATAATAATAAAAAGCCTTCCATGTGGAGGATGCTAAAATGTTGATTTAAACAAAGTTTCGTCGGTGACATTGACTGCAGCATTGATTTTTAATTAATGTTCTTTTATCCAACATTTTCTTCTTCCCATGTTTTATTATTATTATTATTATTATTATTATTTCCCCCCTCCCTCAATGAAATCCTCTCTGCAATTTTTTTTTTCTTTTTTTCCTCTCGCCGACACTGAAAAAATGCAATTAAATATATATATATATTTTACCTAATTTACACATAATTTGCTTCGGAATATCCTCTTTAATTTTAAATTTTAAATATTTGATTACATCCCGTAAATTTCTCATAATTTACAATGACTTTTTAAAATCCTTTTATTTGTAATATTCTTTGAATAAATAAAAAAAATTGACAAATTTCAACGGTCAAAACTGACGTGGATAAATGCAGTGGTTAGACCCTCCATGTTTTTGTTCACACTATGAAACCGGCAAACCGACGTCTAACATTCACTAAATCTTTTATTTCTTTTTTTAATTAAAAATTGGTACAAATAAATTTCTCACTCTCCAAGAGAGCGCGTGGGATGGAAGAAGCTTCCAAGCCACGTCCCTTTTTCTATATATATATATTTTAATTATTTTCTTCCCGCTCCCAAACACGTGACTTGCACGCATACCCATGAAACGACGTCGTACCGCCTCGAAGCATGTTTCAAAAAATACCTACATGTGTGTATATATATTATTTATATAATAGTAAGAAATAAATCCGTTAAAATGTTTTCTATTTACTTGGTAATGATTTTTTATATTCTAATTTTTTTAATGGGTATAGATCAATTTATGGAAATAAAATTTTTAATTAATATTACGAAATTCATTAAATGATGTTTTACCATAGCACGGTTTTAAGGTAATGAAATGATCTTAATTTAATTTAATATTACAAAATTCATTAAATGATGTTTTACCAAGGTAATTAAAAATTAATTTAATATTACAAAATTCATTAAAATGCATCCATCCAAAAAAACAAAATTAAAAAATATTTATCAAATTTTCTAAGGTAAAAAGGATTTTTATAAAACTTTTTAAATTTGATATATTATTTAAAGAAAAATTTAAGATTTTTAAGCCAAAATTTAACTATTTTTGAAGTTAAAAAATGGATAAATAGTATTAAAACAAAACGCGCGAATAGTTTCTATAATTGAGAAAGTTAGCAACAAGAGAGAGAAATCGAAGGAAGAGGAAGAGGGAAGAGGGAACTATAAATTGGAGTCGACTACAAAGCTGGAGTTTCGCTGTGGCGGCGTGGGGTCCTCTCTACTTTCAAATTCTCCAAAATTCCCAATTCTCCCTCTCCAATTTCCTCCGTGTTCCACCGCTCGCTCCAGGTTTCGTTCTTCACATCTCTAATTTCCTCAATTTTTTGTTCCTGTTCTTTGATTTTGGTTTCATTTTCTGCGTTTCGTTCGATATAGGAACATTCTATGCTGCCTTTCTTCCTATTTCTCCTTCCCATTGACACGTATGTCTTTTCTGGAACTGAAGTGGAGTGATAGTTCGTTCTCATTGTAACGATGTGTGATCTCTTTCTTGTTTCGGAATTGAGAAATTAATAATATGTTATCTACCTCCATTGAGTGCGTAGTTTGTATGTAGGCTTAGATTCGTACATTTCTCGTCTCTCAGTGGTAAATTTGTTGAGAAGTATCGAAGATAAATGAAAGATGATGGAGAATTGTACTAGGGAATGTTTGCCTTTAACTTGCTTATATGGATGCATTTAAAGAAAGTTGTCTAACGATTGATGATTTAAGTTGCTCCTTTCGCAGCCTTTAGCTCTGTGGCGTATGCTCGCGGGTAAATTATATTAAACCAAAATGTCCCTCCTCAGTAGATTCTTTTACAGAAGACCCCCAGATGGGTTGCTCGAATTTGTTGAGCGAGTATACAGTAAGTGAAACCTTTATTGCAATTCTCAATTTGTGACTTTATTTCATTTTCTTTTTCTGTGCGATATTTCTCATTATGAAATTGGCTTAATATGTTCTCATTCGGTTGTCAATTCCATGAATCCGTGCAGTTTTCGATTCGTGCTTTTCCACTGATGTATTGCCCGATGGTATGTACCAAATATATCTGCATGAAATCATAAACGAATTACATGAAGAATTCCCAGACTCCTCCTTCCTTGCATTTAATTTTCGTGAAGGAGAGAAAATGAGCCAATTTGCAGAAATGTTGTGCGAATATGATGTCTCTGTGATGGATTATCCTCGACAATATGAAGGGTGCCCTCTTCTTCCATTGTCTTTAATACAGCACTTCCTACGTGTTTGTGAAAGTTGGCTTCTGCTTGGTAATCAACAAAATATCATTCTTCTCCACTGTGAGAGGGGAGGTTGGCCACTCTTAGCATACCTTTTAGCTAGCTTTTTGATTTATAGAAAATTGCACAGTGGTGAGAGGAAAACTCTTGAAATTGTACATCGAGAAGCTCCCAAGGGGTTTTTGCAGCTCTTGTCACCATTAAATCCATTTCCATCTCAGCTCCGCTACTTGCAATATGTTGCAAGGAGAAATATAGTCTCTGAGTGGCCACCACCTGAGCGAGCACTCTCTTTAGATTGTGTAATTCTTCGTGGTGTTCCAGGTTTTGATTCTCAGAATGGCTGCAGACCAGTTATTCGTATCTTTGGGAGAAATCTTTTCAGTAAGGGTGGGCTTTCCACACAAATGATTTTTTCCATGCCCAAGAAAAATAGGGTCCTCCGTCATTACCGCCAGGTTAAAGCTTGATAGACTGAATTTCTACATTTATTTTGTAGACCACGACTTCATATTTTTAGATGTGTTAACTATGCTTCGATGGAAGTTTTGATTGCAGGTAGACTCTGATGTGATTAAAATAGATGTGCAGTGTTTGGTTCAAGGAGATGTAGTGTTGGAGTGTTCACATTTGGAACCAGAACCAGAAAGGGAAGTTATGATGTTTCGTATAATGTTCAACACAGCATTTATTCGATCAAACATACTGATACTAACTTCTGAAAATTTGGACATTCTTTGGGATTCAAAGGAACGCTATCCAAAAGGCTTTCGAGCTGAGGTTGTATTTTAAGTCATTTGGAGAATCTCATTAATTGATGTCTTGCTTTTTACTATTTATTACCATAAGAGATAAACATCTTAATAACTCTGATTTAATGATGTCTCTTTTTTTTATCTGTAGCTGTCCATCTAATTAATTACTTTTTAAATTAGGTTTTGTTTGGGGAGGTAGAATGCATTTCCCCTCCAAGGGCTCCAACCACAATTTTGAATGGCGAAGAGAAAGGTGGATTACCAATTGAAGCTTTTTCCAGGGTTCAAGAACTTTTTAGTGGTGTGGATTGGATGGATACCAATGATGATGTTGCCTTGTGGCTACTGAAAAATCTTTCTGCCTTGAGTGACGTGAAAGAATTGTCAGGATGGCAAACTAAAGCAAGTTCATATTCCTCGCCCGTGGATTCTGAAGAGGAAAATAATACGTCTAGCACTGCTGACAGTTCAGATGAAGTATTCGATAGTATGACAAAGTCCTTCGTTGATTTAGCTTCTGCCAATTTTACAATTCCAGCTCTGGTACGTTCTTCTGAATTATTGTCTGGCAAGATCGGTGCTACTGAAGTGAATGTTTCATCAGAGTCTCCTCAAACTTTTGATGAATGTCAGGATGAGGTCTTTTTAAATAAAGAATCTCTACCGTCTTCATCACCTCCATTATCTTCTCATAGCTCCTCACCCCCTCCTATAAGTTCTTTAATGCCATCACAACTGTTGCCTCCTAATGTACCATCTACCGATGTTAGTGGGGAACTTGTCTCGAACAAGATGACACCCACTGTTAAAGTGATTCCTCCTCCGCCACCGCCACCCCCACCACAACCTTTTTCTTCATCTCATAATAAACCTCATGTAGAAACTTCCATGAGTTTTGACTCCACGTCCATAACAGTGCATGGGATACCCTCTCCTTCGCTTTCACTTGTTCATAAATCCTCTAGTGCTCCTCCACCCCCACCTCCACCTCCCCCTCCCCTCCCAAAAACAACTGGTGTTCCACTGCCACCTCCTGCTTTTGTTGAAAAATCTTCTAGTGCTCCTCCACCTCCCACTCCACCTCCAGTTCCGAATTCTTTTGGTGCTCCCCCGCCTCCACCTCCACCTCCACCTCTAATTCCAAAATGTTCTAGTGCTCCTCCACCTCCTCCTCCGCCTCCAATTTTGAAATGTTCTAGTGCTCCTCCACCTCCACCTCCACCACCTATTCCAAAGTCTTCTAGTGCTCCTCCAACCCCACCTCCTCTTCCAGAATCAAATCGTGGCATGACACCAGTTCCACCTCCTCCACCACCAAAACCTCCTGGTGTTGAGCCACCAAGTCAGGGTACTAAACCAACTAGGCCTCCTCCACCTCCTCCACCAACAAAGGTGTTTAGTTCTAATCCTCCGACAAGTCGTGGTGCTACACCAATGCCACCCCCTCTGCCCGGATCAACACGGTCAAATGTACCACCCCCTCCTGATGGAAGGGGGAAATCTTCTCCAGGATCAACAACTCAAGGAAGTGGTCGAGTTGCTACGGGAGCTGTAAATGCTCCAAAGAAAACCACTTTGAAACCATTGCACTGGGTAAAAGTTACTCGAGCAATGCAAGGGAGTTTATGGGCTGACTCACAAAAGCAGGAGAATCAATCAAGGTACACACCAAGCATGAACTTTTTGAGTTTTCTACTGATTGGAAGTTCCACATTGGTATTTTAGATTGTAGAGCATGTACTTTATTCAATATCCAAAGTTTTCTTAATTTGATCCCTGCAAATAATAATAATAATAATAATAATAATTAATTAATTAATAAATAAAGGTTTGTTTTTATGCTTTGATCCATTAATTTCCTAAATAAATAAAAAAAGCTTTGTTTGTGGACTTTTATTTTGAACTTATTTGAGGTTCTCTATTGTGTATTTGTCCCTTATTTTCTATTTTTACTCGTATCATCTTGGCTGTCTTACTATTATTGAGTTGCAAGGGTTTTCCTATTATTCTCATTCCAAGTGATGGTCTTACAGGGCCCCAGAAATAGACATCTCTGAACTTGAAAGTCTATTCTCAGCAGCCTCTGCATCTGATGGAAGTGGCAGCAAAAGTGGAGGACGACGTGCTTCCAACATCAACAAACCTGAAAAAGTGCAACTGGTTAGTCATTTTTCATTCGTTCTTATTCATCCTTAGCGTCATTCTTTTATGTTTCATATTTCCTTCTCATGATTTTGGTTGATGGAGTTCAAGGAAGGGAGGTGGTTTGCAAGGAGCATTTGGTCATTTTCTTGTTTTTATTTGGCTTTTTTTGGGGTCAAATTTGTGATGTGGTTCTATTTCATTTTGTCAGATTGACCTACGGAGAGCATATAACTGTGAAATCATGCTCTCAAAAGTAAAGATTCCCTTACCGGATATGATAGTAAGTGAATATTCTTTCCATTATGTTTCATTTGCTATTTCAATTGATGGGTTGAACATAAATTAGCTTCTTGGGTTTTGCCTCTTCTATTGAGAGAGAGAGAGAGAGAGAGAGAGAGGGGGGGGGGGGGGGG